TTAGCGGCCTCCTGCTGGCAGCATGATCCCAAGTCTGCCCCGCTCTGTCTGTCCTCACGTCTCCCAGTGAGTCAGCCTCACATCAGATCCCGTCCTACATCCATGGGCATCGACGCTTATGGCCCAGCTGCCCTGAGCCCCCTGAGGCACTCAGCCGAGACCAAGCAACAGTGTTGGATCCTGAATAAATATCAGGTCCCATAGGAGCAGGAAGAAGGAGATAGAGAGACCCTCTCTGATGATCTCCAAGACAAGGCAGGCGGCCCCTGGCTCAGCCAGGGCTGGGTGGGAAACATCTTCTTACAAGGAACTGGAATAGCCTATATGACCAGGAAGCCCTGGATTCTGGGGTGGTAAAGGGACCGGAGCCCTGGAGTCAGAGAGAAGGGTTAAATCCTTCCCTGGGTCTCTTTTCTAGCAACATGTCTTTGTTGCTAGACCTAGATCTCAGCTTCTTCATGTTTAAATTAGGGAGAATAAGAGTACCTGCCTACCAATAGGGGCATTTGAGGATTTAGTGAGATAATGCTGGTGAAGCACGTGGCTTGGTGCCTGGCACATAGTAAGTGCTCAATAAACTCTAGATGCTATAATCTGTCATTATAAGCTGAGTGGTGGAAGCTGACAAACCATTTTTGCCCCAGGAACCCGCTGCTTGCTCGTCATCTTGGAACTCACTTTAAGTCCATCAAATGCTGAACTGCAGGGAAGGTGTCGGTGGAAGAAATATACAGAGACAAACCAAATTCTAAACCCTACCCGGTTAAACTCACCTCCTACAAGGCAGCTCCCTCAAGCCAGGGGGGGTCTCCTGGATCCCTGGGAAGGGCCAGAAGCCAGGGGACAAGGGTATGGCAGCTCTGGGTTTTCAGCTGAGTCTGTGAGGTGAAGGCTTAGTGTGGGTCAGAGGCCAGGAAACCACACCCAGTGGGGCTGCACTGCATCCCCTGCCCTGAGGCTGATGTTTTAGACCAAGGGGTGTGGGGTTTTTCTGGGCGCTGACCAGCCTCACTGGAAGCTGATCTCTTTGTACAGGGGACAAAAAGGCTGAGAGGGACAGGTCAGTGGTGTCGATGATGTTCACACCATGGAGCCTTTTGAAATGATTCCTGTGCTCCAGATACCCTCAGCACCAGTGTCCCTGGGCCCAGTACATCCACCTGAGGACTCCTTTTCAAGCCTTGACTCAAATATCACGTCTTTCAGCAAGCCTGTGCTATCTGCACATGGAAGCAGTCACCTCTGCTCACCCAGAACTAGAACACAAGCCTCATTTTTGTCTACAGGACTGACCCCCCCACCTCCCCACAATAATAACAATAATATTTATTTAGCACTTACCATATGCCAGACACTGTTCTGGCTTGCTACGTGTATTACCTCATTTCATCTTCCTGACAACTTTCATAAGTACTATTTTGTCCGCTTTGAGGAGGAGAAAACTGACGCTCAGAGAGATTAGAAGACTTGCCCAGTGGCTCCCAGCTATAAGTGGTGGAGCCTGATTCAAATTCCAGGTGCTTGGCTCTAGAATTTGTACCCTTACTGAGAGTTCCTGGGGGCAAGGCCAACATCTGATTTGTCTCTTTGTTTTTAGCACCTAGCACGGTAGGCACTTAGAAAAGATGGGGTGATTAACCAAGCAAGGTCCAGAGTGAGGCCAGCACGGTGCACTTTCAGTGTTAGCGTTACAGGCCAGAGATACCAAACCTCCAAGCCCACCTGAGATGTGTCTTCTCGAGGGATCCAGCCACAGGACTGCAAGGTTGTGAGTGTGTAGGGGGAGGGGTTCCCATGCCTCTTGCCTTGTGGTTTTTGTTTCCTAGTTAACTTCTGCCTCTGTCTTCCTTCCTCTGTGCTTTGGTCGCTCTTCCATTGCAGCCTCTGACCGTGACCTTGTCCTTCCCCGTAGCTTTCCACCGCATCCTCTGCCACGGACCTTTCACAGGGCTCAGAATTGCCCAAGGAGGCTGAGAACATGAGCGACACTGACTCATTAGCCTGGCCATGGACCAAGCTCCTGTGCCGACCCTGAGCGGAAGCAATAATTTCCCAGGCGCTCTCCCTGGGTGCAGGTGGGACTAGGGGAGGGTGGCTGCTAGCCACAGCTTGGCTCACATCTGTAGAAGATCAAAAGGATTCCTTGCCTTTCCTGCCTCCTCTCCAGGGTCCCAATTCCTCCAGAAAGCCTTCTCTGACCATCTGAGAATGCTTATTCATGTGACCATTCACCAAAGGCTTGTATGTGCTAGTCTCCTAAATGGGGGAGACAAGACACACTGCTGCAATGGTAGGTGAAATGGGAATTCCAGAATAACTGGACAGCTTACCAGATGTCACAGACATCAGAGGGGACAAATGAACTGCAGATAACCAGTGATTTCAAAACGGAGACTCTGTGACCCAGGGCAAGCAGTCCATCATCTCTGGATTTCAATTTTCTCAACTAAAAAATGGGATGATAATGCAGACCTTAGGAAGCTATCAGGAGGATCGAATAGAATTTTTTTTATAAAGCTCTTAACATAAACTAGTACACAGTAGGTGTTCAATAAGCAATGATTAATGCTTCCCTGCTCTGAAGCACCAGTTTTCTACTCAGCCCTCCAGAAAAGACTGAAATACTAGCCGGTCCATCCTTTCAGACCACCGATGTCTGTTTAAGCAGTGCCAGGAACACGGTAAAGAGATGGCCCTGGCAGGTCAGGGTCACCCGTGTGAGGACTAGTCACTAGGATTGCTCGCTGTCCTCCCCGCCCCCACCGGGTCTTTGGGAGAACCTGGTGAGTGCAGAACGAGTTAGCTGTCAAGTTGAAATGCAAGTTCAGCTCTGCCTGAGACACGGAGGTTTGTTTACTGCTGTATCCTCAACTCCTAAAATATGGCTAGGCACACAGTAAGTGCTCGATAAATAATTATTGAATGATTTTTTTTAAAGCAATAGATTTTCTTTTTCTCTTCAAATAAAAGCAATAGGGGGTGGGGAGTAGAAGGGGCCAGGGTGAATAGCAAGGGGCAGGGGACACTGGGGGCAGGTGGATGCAGCTGCCAGGCCCGCCAGCCAGGCTGCTCTGTGAGGGAAGATAGTGAAGCCAACAGTGCCTGCACCCCACCCCCAGGACGAGGAGGCTGGGCCCAGGCGTGTGCTGCCGTTCACAGGTGAAGGGCAAAAGCAGAGCAGAGACTTCTCAGGGAAGGGTGGTAAGTGATGCGGGACAGCGTGAGGGCAAAGGCAGCTAGAGCAGGGAAGCAGGAAGAGGGAGGAGGGCGCCGGGAGCCTGAGGGGCTGCCGTCCTAGCCTGGCTGGACTGCATCTTAGATCTCTGGTTGTGTGGGGGAAGGTTCGGATTTGGGGGTGCTCCTAGGTGCCAAACCCTGAGGGAGCCTCAGCTGCTGAGGCACTGAGGCCTGTCACTCCATCCTCTCTAAAATAATGAGTTCCCATCCCAGGGCCACAGGGCTCCCTGGGCAGCAAGGCGGAGCGTCGGAGCCAGCCCAAGGAAGAAAGCGGGCACAGGGGGCTCAGACCCCTCGATGTGCCCATCCTCTTTCTGCGGTGACAACAGTGCCTGGCCAGGAAAGTGGGCCAAGCTACCCACAAGTGACTTTCTCAGGCAGCAACAGGACCCACTGGCAGGGGGCCTCGGTGACCTGTACCCAGCCCTGCCCCCCCATGCCCAGCCCTCTGTTTTGGAAAGACATTAAGGGGCAGGGGCAATGGGAGGAAATGTTGGCCTTTCCCTTCAGCGAGAGAACACCCACAGAGCCAGTCCTGGCTTTGGGGCAGGGGCGCACGGAGCCTCCATCATCCTGGGTGCGCAAAGGGACCTTCATCTACCTTCCTGTCCCCTCACTGAGGGTGAGCAAGCTGGCAGGGAGCCATCCGACCTGGAGAGGCTGCCCCTTCCACCACCCCGCCTCCTGGGGTCTTCAGGCAGTGAGCTTGCCAGTCCGTCTCTGGCAACCCAGAGCTGTGCCCAGCCCACCCCCTCCAACCCTGCCAGTCGCCCAATTAGAAGCTGCGTTGGCTCCAACAGATGGGAGCTGCGGCAGCCTGAGGAACAGAGCACAAAGCCCAGCTGACATTTTCCTTCCTGTTCCTCTGGTGGGGGAGGAAGGACAGGGACAGAAGGGTGCACAGCAACACCCCTAGGTTCCACCCGCGGGGTCCCACTCTCCTGCCCCTCTTTGGCACCTCAGCTCGGGCCCCAGACGCAGCTCCATCCCCCTCACCTAGCCACTCCTTGCTGTGCACTGCCAGCCGGGCAGCCAGAGCCCACACCGCCCTTCGCCATGCGGGCAGGACTGACGGCCCACCTGTGGCTGCCCAGTGCTCCTCTCCCCCGAGGGGCTCCCAGCTACCCTTCTGTTCTGGAGGCTCCCACTCCTAGAGCCCCGGCTGGGCTCTGGGCCGGCCCATCCTCCACCCCACATGCCCCATCCCAGGCTGCAGTCAGACCCCAGCCGGCCAGCCCGGGAAGGACCTGGTTCCTGCAGCCAGATACTTAGGGCAGCCCCAAGGCCACCTTGTCCCTCTGCACTGACACCCGAACCCTGAGGAGGGGAAAGTCCCCGAGCTCTGAGCACTTACATCCTGCTGGTCCACCCCTGGCACGCCCTCCGTAACCTCTCTGCCACCTCTGGGCACCTCGACGCATCTCCAAGGCCCCGCTCTGCCCAGCAACAGTTTGGGGGAGCTCAGGCCTGTCGGGGTTGATGAAGGCCCAGACCCCTCCCCCGCCGCTCGGGTCCAGCCCCGGCGCAGCGGGCCACCTTCTTTTGCATTCTCCAGTCTCCCTGCCGCTTCCCTCCGGCTGTCTTCCTCTAGGCGCCAGCCCCGCTGCGGGCATCTCCTCGGCCAGCAGCAGCCCGTCCCTCCCCCGACCCCCGCCCGGGTCAGGCGGAGCTGCGGAACCACGGGGACCGGCGCTGGTCGCCCGCAGCCACGCTAGCGGCCTCAGTGTCCGCGACACCCGGTCGGCCCGGAGCCGCACACTCACCCCGTGGGCGCCGTCCGCAGTCCTTGCCACCGCGCTCCGCTCGCCTACCTCGCACCGCGCGCCCAGGCCGGGGGAGGCTCAGTGGGCGCCTCTCCCAGGCGTGCACTTATCCCTCGAGCCTGCTAGGGCGACGTGGGGATCGCCGATGTTCCGCCCCTTCCCGCGCCGCGGCCCGAGGCTGCCTGGCGGGCGAGGGCAGGGCGCTGGTGGTGCGCACCGCCGGGTGCCAAGTGCGCGGAGCAGGCCCGGCGCACCTCCGCGCGCCCCTCCTCCCGCGGCTCGCCCGCCCTCCTCACTCGCTTCTCAACCGCTCTCCCAACCTCCCCAGCCCACTCTGGTCGCCTCCTCCCAGTCTGCATGCCACGCCAACCCCCTCCAGTCCCGCTGCCATGTTAACTCCTGAGTATCCGGAGGCCCTCTCTGCCTAACACGCACACACCCGAGGAGTTGGGTGGGGCTCCATGCTAAAGCCTGGGCTGTCCTTGTCACTTAGACCCCAGGCTTGGCTGAGACAACGAGAAGGGGGCACTGCCCTGGGATCTGAGAGGTGGACCAGATGGCTTTTCTGATTCTCCCTCTGACCCTCTTGCAAAGGCCAAGAGGACAGATGGGAAACTGAGCAGCTTTTAGAGGATGGGTGCCGCTCATGAACACCGGCATGCACAGCGTGTACGTTTTTGCTTTGTATGGTGCTATCCTCGAAAGTCAGCGGTGGACTAAGGAATGTGCTGGTGGGTTAGAATTTGTCGCAGCGCAGGCCCCTCTCACCCCAGTGAATGGAGTGGAATAGCCCCTGGGTTCTCATGGCTCTCCAGCACTGCCTGCTGAGGCCAGCAGCTCCAGCATCCTGGAAGAGCCCATCCTGGCTCTGGGTAAGGGATATCAGTCTAGGTAGGAGTGAGGGAGGAGCTGGCAAGCCCCCCACCCCTCAGGGGAGGCTTGGTTGTACATTTCACCCTGCAGACTGGGTAACCTGAAGAAAGGAAAGAAAGACGGAGAGCAGAGGCCCAGCCATGCGAGGCAGGGGATGGGGTGTCTATCCCCTAGTAGCTTAGAAAATTTGGGCCCCTGCTACCCATGACAGTTCAGGAAAGTGGGTCTCCTGCTGGGGTGAAGGCTTCAGACCCAGGTCTTTGAGGGGCCCACTCAGAATGAACACCAGCTCAATGACAGGCCATACCCTACTGAGGGACTTGATCAGAGCCTGCAGACCTAGCCATGGGGCGGTGGAGCCCAAGAGGCAGGGAGTCCTGCAAGGCCTGGTGTCCCTGGGCTGCCTCCCAGCACCCTGAGCTTGAGCTCAGGACCTCTGACCAGACAGACCCGGCTTTTTTGCCCTGTCTTTTCCAAGGGTGGTGTCTGCCATGCCCGGAGGCTTTGTGAAGTAGTTTTGAAGGTCTGTGTGTTTTGTCTTCACAAAAGGATTTGCACTTACAGCTATCCAATAAGCACATATTAAGTCCCCATCTCCCCCCCACCATCCACGCCTGCTGTGGGGCATAATGGCATGAAGGATCTGAGAGGACCAAGTTGAAACTACAAGAAATAAATTTTAGCATTTCAAGGCAATGGCTGTGCCATAGAAATACAGCAAGAAAATGGCATTATGGGCTCATGTTATTCATGGAAGGTTTTATAGAGGAGCTGAGCTTCCAGCTGAGCCCAGCTGGAGGGATAGGATTTGAACCAGCAGAGAAAATGGGGACCAGCAAGGCAGGAAAGTGGAGACAAGCAGAGAAGAATGGGTTGCCTGGAAGGTAGGGGCAAGGGAGGAAATTTACAGAGCTACTATTAGATGCTGGCCTTTTTATATGCTTCTCATCTCAGGCTCCAAGTTGACTTATAGCCCCATTTATCAGATTGAAGAGTGGAAGCTTGAAGCATGTAAGGAAGTAGCCTGATCTACAGGCAGAATTCAAGTCCCCATCTTTGCAAACGCTGGCTACACCGCAGACTGAGTGTGAGAGTGGAGCTACTAATGAAAGGCCTGAGGTGCCAGGCTCAGCAGGGCAGCTGTGGCCCAGGGCGTGTGTGATTTGAGATGAGATGAGAGGCAGGCGGAGCAGAGGCTAGGCAGGTGGCTGCTGCGGGGACACAGGAGGGGCAATGAGAGGGCAGAACAAATGTCACGGGCCTTGGAAGGAAGCCTTGGCAGAATTAAGGTAGGGAAAGTGTTCAGCGGCTGATTTGGAGCATTTCAGTCTGAACATTCGGGTCCCTTGTCAGGACAGCAGAGCTGTCTTTCCAGCCAGAAGGCCTAAGTCAGCACATAGAGACTGAAAGGGGAAAGGAGGGGAGCTTGCCAGCCTTTGGAAGCTCCAGGACTCACCCCAGTGCCTGGCCTTCCCGTACCTGTGCACAAGGCCTAGTGTGCCTTCCTGAGGCTGAGACTGCCCCACGCAGCACCACGATGGGACGGGGACATCATAGCACAGGCTCAACAGCTGATTATGGAAGGAATATTTACCACATGGCTGTCCCTGAGTGGTAGATCCTCATCCCACTGGATTCTGCTCGAAAATTTAAAACATAAAAAAATAAAAAGGGCTGAGACTGTAGCTCATTGCGAGAGTGCTTGCCTAGCAGGCACAAGCCCCCAGGTTCAACCCCAGTACTGCAACAAAAATTTTTTTAAATTCAAGTAATAGAAGTTGACATTTACTGGGCACCAGCAAGGGTAAAGATTTCATTTATGCATCATCACACTGAAAACTTCACCTACTCTAGGACTTGGAAAATAGGAGAAAAGCAAGGCCAAAGCCAGGCATGGTGTCACATGCCTGTAGGTCCAGCACTTGAAGCCTGAGGTAAGAAGATTACCACTGTGAGTTCAAGGCCAGCTTTGGAAAATTAGGAGATGTTGTCTCTAAATAAATCCAAATGAATAAAACAAATGAAATAGCAAATACAAGGTCAGCATTCACAAGTAGTACATAGTAGAGCTGAGACCTATATTCAAGGCCATCAGAACACAGGGTCTAAACGTGAAACCAATTCCTGGTTATGCTTATTTAGGGAAAGGGTAGCCATAAGGATACGAATTCAGACTCCCAGGGTTGTTGCAACTGCCTGGCACAAGGCACAACTCGGCAAGTGGCAGCCACCCCTCTCAGTCCCACTTCCACGGCTACTGTTCTGAGCCAGATTCTTTCCTGGAGAAGCTGGGGACTCAATCCACAGCCTTTTGGAAGCTCTTAGGTAATTACTCAGAGGATTTAATGGCCCTGTTATTGACCTTTTGCCCTCCAAGTTTAGTCTCTAGGCTTAGCCAAACGTAATGTCTTGCCAGGAAGCCTGGGACTCTGTGACATCAGAATGTCTAGGGAGAGGGATGCCAGGGCCATGCACCCCTAGACGATCCTGGCCTCAGCTGCACTGGGATCTTCAGAGGAGGGGTCTGGACTCTGAGCCAGTGAGTGTGCTGTTTGTGTGGTGGGGGCTGTGAGGAGTGAAGCCTGGTAGATGAAGAAGGAAGCTGGAGGTATGGTGGGACAACCTTTAGGGGATCCTCTGCTGTTGGATGTAGCCTCTCTTAGCCTCCAGCTCAGAAGATGCAGAGCAAGGCCTTGGAGTCTCTGAAGACTATAGTCCTAGCAGTAACCCAACTCGGGAGGGTGGTCTTAGGCAATAGTCTTCAGATATCAGAGCCTGCCGGAGAGCACACAAATCCTATCCCAGAGACAGGTTCTGTAGCTCTTGGAGTCTGCTTTGGGATAAACTCCCTAGGTGATTCTGACTCAGGTGATAGGGTGGACCTTGCTTTGAGACATGCTGGGCTAGGGGCACACACTGCTCTCCACCTCTTCCTGCTCAGGCTCTACAGGTACAGAACTTTGTCCTCTAGAGCACAGGGGAACGAGGGACAGGACAACAAAGTACATGGCCAGTGAAACTCATGAAGCATAAGCTTTGGGGTGTCTCACTTGGAGGATGGTGGGGAGAGGGTTGGCCATGGAGGCTGGGAGTTGTAGAGTGTTCGAGGTGGGGAAGGAAAGCCAGCTTGCAAATGCCAGGGAGTGTTTTCATGTAAGCGTTTCTGATAAACTAAATGAAGAGAGGTCAGAAGAGAGGGACCTGAATTTGCAATACTTGTGTAAATTGTGATCTTCTTTTAGTGCTAAATAAATATCACCATTGAGACTGAGTTTATATTGTGTTCTCTTTACAATATTGTGTTCTCTTCCCCCACAAAGCAAGGATCTTCTGTGGCCCCTGCCCTCAGGGAATTCCCAGGATCCACAGACATCCTGGGAACACAGAGAACCAGAAAGGCAAGGGGACATACACTGCAGATGGCAGAGCTGTGTGGAACTGCAGGGAATCCCCAAATTTATCTTGGATTATATTCCTGGAAAAAGCATTGCAGGTGAAAATGATGTAGGATGAATCTGTTTCTGCCCAGAAACAATGTGATAGTGGAAATTACATTCTTCACCAAGGTCCTGGTACCCAACATTTTATAGGCATAAGCATAAACACCACAAATGCCATATTTAATCAACTATAAATGATATACCTGTACTTTGTATTTCCTAAATTGAATCTGAGTATCTAAAACCGTTAAACTGGGTAATATGGTAATCAAATCCCATTCTTTTTAGCTTAGCATGTTCAGACAATTCCTTGGGGAAATGCTATTTTGGGGAGAGGGAGTATAGAAAAGACTGGAGAGTCCCCCTCTCCCCTACAGGCCCCACATAGATAAAGAGGGGGGTTCTCAGAGGTCTGAAATTGGGGGACAGGGGTTCTATGCTGCATGGCACACTGGAAAGAGACCAACCAGGCACCTTGTCAGTGGTACACTTGGCCAACTCCAAAGTTCACATCTCTTAGGTCAAGGGTGCCATAAACACATGGGGTGGGGACATCTGAGAGGGCTTGGGGTAGCTGAATTGGAGTGCCCGTTGGAATTCTGACCTAGAAAGGGCTTCTGGAAGAAGAAATTCTTCAGGAGTCAGGAAGAATAGCTAGGCTTCCAGAGACGACTGTCCCAGGAATTCTAGATTTGACTTCTGACCCACTTCCCATAACCCAGAGACTCCCATGAATACTTGGTCCCTAAGTAATCACCACCCATTTCCCCTCTACTTTGATGGTTTTATCACATGGGTGGAGACCCACTAGAGATTACAGCCAGCACATTTTAAAATCATGAAATAGCATAGGAATTTGTTTCATTAATACTTCTGTTCTGGTTTCATGTGAACATAGATACTATGGGCACTAAATCATAGTGTTCTATGGACTGTATATCTTTCTAGGAGTCTAGCAAACCTTGCGTTTTTGTTTCAGAGCCTGCAAATAAGACACACATGAGGC